CCGGGCGCTGCCCGGGGGTGCGGCGGGGAAGCAGCGCCGCGGGCAGGCTGCGGGCGTGGGGAGGGGGAGAGCCGCCCGTCCGCCCTCCCACGCGCACTCACTTTTCTCCCATCCCCGGCGGAGAAGTGAAAGAAGTTTGTTTTGTTGAGCGGTGCGCCGTGGGGTTTGTTGTTGTTTTTCTTTTTCCTTTTTTTTTTTTTTTTTTTTTTTTTTTTTTTTTTTTTTTTTCTTTCCCCCCTTCCTTTCCCTGAAGAGGCTTGTGTGGGTTTTGGGTGTTTTTTTTTTTCTTTTTTTTTCCCCTTCCTCCTCCTTCCCCGATAACTTTTTTCGCACACGCCGCCCCAAAGCCAGCCGATAAGACCAGGAGGGGCCGAAAGGGGACGGTGATGGCGAGCCGGCAGGAACCCGCCGAGCCCCGCCGCCGCTGAGCCCTGCGGGGCCAGCAGCCCCCGCCCGGGCCCCGCCGCCCCCCGCACATGGTGGAGCGCCCCGCGCCGCGCCCGCCGCTCCCCGGACCCCGACGGCCGCGGCCTCCGCCCGCGTTTAACGCCGAGATGTTGCTTCCAGCCGCCTGAAGGATATTTGTCCCTCTCCCCCCTCCCTGCCCCCGCGGGCTCCCGGCGACACAAGGTAAGAGCGGCGAGCGCGGCGGCGGCGCTGCCACGGCCCCGCGGGACGGGGCCGCTTTGCCCCGTCGGTGTCGCCGCGCCGCCGGCCCCGGGGCAGACCCCAGGCGCTGGGGAGTGCGGGGTGAACCCCCCTTTCCTCCTTGGGGGTTTCTCCAAAAGGGAAAATTAAACATCCCGTTCCCAAGAGCAGCCGGAGGTGCGGGCGGCGGTGCGGCGTGCGCGCCCGTGGAGACCGAACTCGCCTGGGGCTGCGCGGTTCGGGGGGCTCCGGGGCTGCGGGGCGAGCTTTTCCACCTTCTCTTTGGAGGTGAGGGCAGAGCCCGCTTCGGCGGGGCGATGCTCGGCTGCCCCGCGGGCTGCGCGCACCCTCCGCGCCCCCCACCCCACGGCCGGGCCCGACCGCGGCCCCGGGGGCGCGGGGGTGAGCGGGGCAGGTCCCGCGGGGACAGCGCGTCCCGCGGGGCTGGGTCGGGGACCGCCGAGGGTCCCGGCAGGGACTTCCGAAGGCTCCCGGTGGCCGGGCAGCGGCAGCGCCGGCTCCGGCCGCGGCTCCAGGCGCTCCCCGGCGGGGCGCAGCCTCCCGCGCCCTTCGCTTTCGTTTGGGGCGTTTGAGGTTGTTTCCTTTATTTTGCCTTTGAAATGGGGTGGGTGCTGCCGGTTCCGAGGCGAAGTTGTTACAGTTTAGCAGTCAGCTCCCCGGGAAAGCCGTGGGAAGATTGGGATAGGCCGATGGTGAAGCTTGCGAATAATGATATTCAGTCCGCTGTAATGATTAGCGATTTGTCATAATATTAGAATAGAACATCGTCTTTAGCTTGTCCACGGGCAGTCTCATTATATTTGTTTATTGTCTGCATAATTGGAACCATTTATTGGTGTGTATTGAATGCTGCCATGGTTTGCATGAGTGTTTACATTGTTTTTCATTTATTCTCTTTATTTTGACATAAGGAGTTCTGTTATTTGCTTCGATTAAGGGGAGGGATTTAAGTGTTGCACAGGACTGTTTGGGAAGTGTAATGTTAAAACAAGATAAATAACTCTGCTTGCCAGATAAAGTTTGGTTCAGAGCAACAAATAGAAAAATTCTAAATGAGTGCTGCAATCTATGTAAATCCTGAAACAAAACAGAAACCTTAAATGAAGCCAACACCATCTATTTTAATAATTTTTGTTATATTCTTGTCAGATTCTTATTTAATTAAAATAATAATTTCAGACACAGTCGTTGATGAATGCATAGAAAATCAGGTGCCTCTTAAATTAACATAGTGTTTCATTGCAATAATTAGACAACATTTCGATTACTTGTAAATATGTGTCAAGACATTTTTCAGAACATTTGTTGTCTTTTTATTATTATGTATTTATTCTGACAGTTCCTAAAAAAAATCTCAGCAGGGAAACATGTTTCTGAATAAATACATTTATTATTATTATTGTTAGTTTGTTTATCTGGAAACCTGTGATTTATCTTTTAATTAGAATACTTAGCCAGTGACAGAAAGATTTACTCTTTCATATTCTTCTTTTTAGATCTTGGATGAGTTTTGCAATGTGAAGTTCTGCATAGATGCCAGTCAACCAGATGTAGGAAACTGGCTCAAATATATCAAGTTTGCTGGATGCTACAATCAGCACAACCTTGTTGCATGTCAAATAAGTGATCAGGTACGTGGTGTTCACTTTCTGGACTTACTTTTTTCAGGAACTTTCAGGTGTCAATGGAAAAAAAAATAACAGCATTTCACAACATCTTTTGGCCTCTGCTGTTGTGGTAAAAGATAAGGTACTGATGGAAATGCAGAATGGAATAATTTTGATTATAGGCGGTAGAAAATACAAATTTTCAGTTTTCCATATTGTTGTTCAATTCCTATATGAGGTTTTTAGTCTTATATCTGATAAAATTCAGGGCTGCTTTCTAAGGGATACAAAGGCATTATGTGCTGATTTTGAATTAGGAGCGTTTTCTGCCTCCTGTTGCAGTCCACTTGGATTGCTGTGTTAAATCATTGAGGTGGTTGGATGCTGTAACATGAATTTAATGGAAAGAGGGGAGGACGCAAAAGTGATAATGTTGCCAGTGTACTTGCATGTGTGGGGCTTTGGACTTGAATGCACACATGCATGGATATTATTGTGCCTTCCCATACACTTTGCTGGAACTCGTAATACTTATGTGCTGAATCAGGGTCTTTGGTGGTTTTCTTTTTCTTTCCATTTGTTGTACTTAAATAATGTTTCAGCCCAACAAAGAGTGGATTTATCCTTGTGTGTTGGAAAAAAGGCTGGGATAGGCAGAGGAAGAATGCAGTAAAGCAGCAAAACATTTTGTTTTCAATTATGCTGATGAGTTATTAGGTGTTTCCTAAATCAGGGTTTGCTTTTGTCTGCGGATAACACAGGCCATTATGAAATATTTTAATGGGCAAAGTTAGGCTGAGGAAGCTTTCCTTCTTTAAAGTAAAATTCCTAAAACAGCAAAGCAACAGCTGATTGTGAATTCTTGTTTCCAATTTAAACTTCGCTACCTGCAACATAGAATTCGATTCATTTAATCAGTGTTTCATTTTTCACCACTTAATTAACTGCATCAGGTGGATGTTAAAGATTATCTTTAGCTGATTTAATTGCCTTGACAGTACTGAAAGAAGAATCACAACCAGACACAAAGCTTCAATTAGAAATCATTCTTTCTAATCAAATTCCATACGTATAGGAAATGAATATGAGGGAGCCTGCTATTTCCAGCCCAGTGCTACGTATTTCACTCATGCGAGATAGCTGATTAAAACTGGGTTAAATAACTTTCTCAGAAACTATGAGAGAAGATCTTTTTCATTTCCAACTTTTACAGTTCAGCCCTGAGCACATGTAGCATGGAACGAGTCAGCAGACCGAGAGATAATTTCTTTTTTATACAGCAGCTGGTTTAACTAAAGAAACCATAAAGGTTATTAGTAAAAGCAAGTTACGTTTTCCAAGCTCAAATATGCTTTGTGCTGAAAAATGATAAATTCTCTCCATGCAGAGCGTTTATGGAGCAGCGATAGGAAAAGGAAACTATGTAGATTAATTGAAACAGCGAATTCAAGTATTTTACATTGAGCAGGAGCTGGTGTAGGTAGGGAAGATCAGAAGTGAAATCACGTGCATTGGTCAAGCAACTCACTGTCTTTGGGTCGGTGTTGGGGATCTGCAGCTGAAAGTGCAGGCGAGGCTGAACCATCAGCATCTCCCTCTGAGTGCACACCCGTGCTCTGACATTTTTTGGAAGGAAAGTTATGGTGCTTTTAACTTTCTCTTTTTTTTTTTTAGTGTTTACATTTCTGACATTTGGTAATGGTGGCTGTACTGCTGCCAATAATTCCCTTCATTCACTGGAGACTTGTTATTTATTTTGCACAGTATCGTGCTGTTCATAATTCCATATTTTTATAGCGTTTTGTTGCTGAGATTTGCAAATTAAGGTTTGGTTGTCTTTCAAGTAGCTTGTTGTGATCTGGGTGCTGTCAGCAAGAGATTGTTGTTCATTTGGCCCTCTGGAAACGCTGCACATTTACCCACAAAATCGTCCACGTACTCCAACGTTTTATGACCAGAGCCTAAGAAGTTAATGCTAAAAATGTGCTCTCGAATCTTAAAGCAAGAAACTCTTTCTAACAGCTCCTCCTTCTGCTTTCTTCTGGCACAAGCTCACCAGAGGTAATATAAAATATAATGGGAAGGCAAACTGGGAAATGGACGTTACATGGCCAAACGTGTGCGTGTACAAGGAGTGACAAATGCAAGTCAGGGCTGAGTGTGCACATATAGACTGTGTGGGGCTGCCTGGGGTCACTCAGCCTCGGTAGCTCCTGGAAAATAAAAGGGGGAAAAAAAAAAAAAAGAAGGGAATAAAAAGGAGAAATAAAAAGAAGGTGAAGCTGAGGATGTGTGTCAGTGGTTGTGGCTAGAGCTGGAGGGCAGAGACGATGCAGCCCAGCTCAGCTGGAGCCACAGCCAGTGCTGGGTGCAGGCATGGGGGGACACCCCAGTTCTGCCTGCCTCCCCCAGGGACACACAGCAGCTCAGCAGCCCTGGTTGCACAGGGAGCATCCCCAGTCTCTGCTCGCTCCCGAGCCACAGACACATGATCAGCAGTAATTGTTCACCTCTAATTGCTTCAACTCATCTGTAAAATTCACAAGCAAACATTAGGCTGTACCTGAGAAGGTAAAAGATCCTTCCAGTGCTCCCGGCCTCATGCTGCCCACAAGTTTATACTACTAAATTCAAGCTTGACTGATAGGTATGGTTCCCAGACTGCTTGAGGCAGGATTGAGATGAGCCCAGGGCGGTGTGTAATCTGGTTGCTCTGCTGTGTTCTACCTGCTGTATTTAACAAAAAGAGGGAAAGAAAAACATTTTTTTGTCATTTTCTCTCTTAGAGTTTTTTCAGAGACATACCACCCCACCCCCTGACTCACGGCTGAGGTTAGGTTTCATCACTTAGGATCAACTTTACAAAAGGCCTGGGCTCTTTCTTATGACTGTATAAATGAGCTTTGCTGAGATGAACAGCTCGATAATGGTGGGATGCAGTCAAAACATGCACGCTGGATGCAACTCATATTTCATTTGATTGCAGCTGGAGTAGGGCTTAAAAGCTGCATTTTTGTACTTTTTTTTTTTTTTAAATTTTGAATGAGGTCGATCTAGGATATCTTTTTGCTGTCTTACTATTATCTCCTGTCATACCCAATCCAACCTGAACATATGTAATTTTAGGTGTATATCAATGATGAAATTCCACAAACTGGGCACTCAGTTTTTTTCTTTTCCCCAAAGAGATTACAGTGTGTGCAGAGCTGCAGAGAGTCTTGTCACTGTTCTTGCCCTGGAATGTGTTTTTTCAGCTCAGAGTCAGTTTAGGATTCTAGAGCAGTTTCTGCTAACTTGGATGACTCCTCTCTGTTATCGTTAAATATCTATTAGTTCAACTTTTTAATGACTTCAGAATGATTGGCTCTATTAGGCTTTCTGGCAGTGCTGTCAGCCCAGCAAAAGCATTATTTTTAAAGATGTATGTTAATGAAAGTGCAGTTGCAAATCAAGCAGTGGCATGGCAGCGTCTGTCACACATTCCAGGCTGAGATCACGGTCACCTTCAAACTACAAAATTTTTTTTTTAAACTTTTTTATTTTTAGAATGATTGTTGGTAGCTGTTGAAGTTAAAACCCCAGAATGTTGTTTTTATCTTTCTTACTGCTTGCAGAGTTCTGACAGTGATACAGACACATAGTCCTGTGAAACTACCCTGGGCTTCCAGGTCTCTTTCCCCCCAACAAAGCAGCTCCTGAAGAGTCCCCTTGGTTTATCCACGGAAAACTCAGAATGACTCAAGATCACTTTACTGAGGTTTTAGATTGCTGTGCGTGCTGAAATAGGTTTTTAGTGGGTTTTTGTGTGTGTGTTTTGTTTCCTTGCCTCATACTCAAGTACGTGCCACTGCAAAGGGAGCAAAACCAGTAGTATCACACTCTTAACAGCATGCCCGATGTCAGTAATATAAACTTACAGGAGTGAACCCACTGCTGTAGGTTCCACCAGCTCTGATCCCACCTTACACGTTTTACAAACTTTTTTAATCTGCAGGCACAGCTTCATGTTTCAGGTTTTACGGCCGCGGCCCCCTGTCCGTGGCGGGCAGGGGCTCCTCGCACAGCCACCTGCAAAAGTTGTGTATTTAAGGAATAGTTTTGAGGCTTTGTTGTCAGAGAGTGAAATTAAGGTTTTGGGTGTTGTGGGTTAGGAGGGCATGCACACACTGAGCTCATAGAGGGTTCTGTTCTGCCATGATTCTTCCTGTGAATTGTTGGTTATTAAGCAAATAAAGCTTAATTCAACTCCCACTAAAAATCTATCTCCAGTGGAGAAGGGATGTTTTAGCTTGGGGCTGGTGGAACGAAGCGTTGCTCAGTGGTGATTTTCCATTTGCTGCAGTTAGAGCTGAGGCTGTGGGTGAAATTCCTGCCTGGGCTTTATGGCTGCCTGTGTTATCTGGAATTTGATGCACTGGTGGTGTTACCGCTCTCAGTTGGACTGTCCTGATGTGACCTAATAAACTGTTTAGAACCAAACCTAGCAACTTGTTGCCATTTCTGAAAAGTGATGAGGTTTTTCTTGATGATTCATGATTCATAAAAGTGATAAGGGATTTTCTGTGATGAGGGCTGTCAAATCCTACTCATGTGCTCGTTAAAGCATAGAGTTATGGGCAACCACAGAGCCTAGAAGGACAAGACTGGACCTTGCTTGATATTGTTGTGGTTCATTAGTGGAGGTTCATGGATGTTAGAGGACAACAGATTGTTTAGATCAGCTCAGGAGAACAGCTGGGTGACAGAAATTGGGGTCTGGTGTCAGTAGTTAGTGACCCCCAGGGAAAAGGTTCTTCAGGACCAGAGCAGCTTGGAGGAACCAAGGTTTTCACAGAAGCTAAAATTCACTGACAGTGGAAGAAAACTTGAGTGGTACTGGGGAGGGAGGTGGCCTGCAGCCCCCCAGGATGCCAGAAAGGGTGCCCTGCAGTGAGGTATCCTGCAGTTCTCGTTTTGGGGAGCAGGAGGCACATTTTCCCTCACAAGATGGAAAAATGGGGATTCCTGGAGCATCCTTCCTCCAG